GAGGATTGCCGTCCCGGCCCGGGACGGCCCCTGGGCGGTTCAGTATCAGTGAGCCCACTATACGTGTGTTTGTAGGAGCGGCCCCCCCCCGCTCGCTACCCCCCCTGCACATCTAGGCCCACCCCCCCCCCTAGCGGGGTGCCCCCCCCCCCCCCCCCAGCAGGAGCCCTCTGCTGTTGGGGGGGTCGGGCCCCCCCCCCCAGCAGGAGCGCTCTGCTGCGGGGGGGGTCAGACCCCCCCCCCTAGCAGCAGGGATGAGCTTAGTTGTGCAGGGGGGGTAGCGAGCAGAGTGCGGCCGCTCCTACAAACACACATATACTGTACTCACTGACACTGAACCTCCCAGAGCTCGTCCCGGTCCGTCACGGCCATCCTCGTCCTCCGGCGGGCCCCCGGCCGCGGCGCGGTGCGGCGGCGTCACAAATCCGAACGCAGAGCACCGGGACGCGGTCGGGCGATCTGAGGCCGCCGCCAGGTAGGCGAATGCATTGCCCATCCAGGGCTATCTCACCTGGACCCCTATCAACAGGCGCCTGCGGCGCCGTGCTCAGGAGTTGGTTTTCACTCGCTCGAAATGTGTACGTAAAAGGGTTAATGTGAAGGGCAGAACCGGCAACGCCGTCCGAGCCTGACTGTTCTTCGACTCAAGATCTATCTATCCGGAGCTGCGTCGGCGAGCTCGTCCGTCTCGGACGTGATTCATCGTCCTAGCTCCTAGGGCCGCCGCCGCTGCGCGCCGGAGGCTGGAGGGCCGCTCTCCGCATCCCAGCGCTCTCTCGCTGGGCGCCGCCGCCGCTTCACCCGCCGCTTCTCGTTCCACGCAAGCGCGCTTTCGCCTTTGCTCCACCGCATGGAGAGAGGGCGGGAGCAGACCCCCCCCCCCCCGGCCCCGCCCCCGCCCCCTCACACACACCCCGCCCCCTCACAGACACGCCGTGCGCTGCGGTGCGATGGCGCGCGCCCCTCTGTCCCGCGCGAGCGGCGCACTCTCCGGCGCACTCCCCCTCCCGAGGCCGCGCGCGGCGACGGCGCCGCCGCCTCGACTCGCGCGCCTCGCCGCGAGGCACCCCACGACAAAGGCCAACGCAAACGCGGCGGCGGCAGCGGCGTTGGACGCCGTCTGCTGCCCTCGCGTCCGCACGGCCGCGGTGGCGTTCGCACCGCGGAGGCCCGCGCCCAGGGGCAAGTAGCGGCGATGCGCCGCGACGCCCTCGCAGTCGATCGCGACGTCAAAGGTGATGGAGGGCGGCGCGGCGGCGCCGCCGCCCTCTCCCGCGTCGCTCGCAGCCTCAGCCTCGCTCGCAGCCTCAGCCTCGCCTCGCGCGGGCGGTGCCGGTGCCGGTGCGGCGAGCGGGTGCTGGAGGTACGAGTAGACGGAGCAGTTTGCGCCGCGCGCCACGAAGCGCGCGTTGAGCACCGACGAACGCCCGCGCGAGGCCCACCTGGAGGGGGAGGAGGAGGCGGCGGCGGCGGGGGCTCTGGGAGGAGGAGGCGGCGGGGCCAGGCTGTGTGAGAGGGAGGAGGTGGGAGGAGGTGTGGCCAGGAGAGGTGCTGCTGGCTGCTGCTGCTTATGCTGGCTGTTGGCTGCTGCTGTTGGCTGCTGGCTGCTGCTGCTGCTGGCTGCTTGCTGCTGGCTGCTGGCTGCTGGCTGCTGGCTGCTGCTGGCTGCTGCTGGCTGCTGCTGGCTGCTGCTGCTGCTGCTGCTGCCGCCGCCGCCACCGCTGCTGCTGCTGCTGCTGCTGTAGCTCGTGGGCTGTGCGATCTGTCGGCGGGCTGCGTGGCTGCGTGGAGTGTGGGGAGTGCTGCGTGGGGTGGGCGTGCTGCTCGAGGCTTACCATCCCTCCTCGTCCGCCTCCCACTGCGAGTGGACGTGGAAGTCGTTTCCGTCGGGCAGCGGCACGCCAAAGTAGTTGTCGTCGTTGCGAAGGTCGATGTGCATCATGGAGCGCAGGCCGAGCGGCTGCAGAGACAGGGACGGGAGGCGGGTGAGCAGACGGAGAGGGCGAGGCCGAAGCGGAGGCGTGGCGAGCGCAGACGGGTGTCCGAGGAGGCATGTGCGAGAGGCGTTGCTGGACACGTGAGGAGTGGAAAGGTGTGGTCTGGCCGGTCTAGTGAGCTCTCCTCCACGATGGGGATGTGGACGTCGATTGAGGTGCTGGCCGGGCCGCCGCCGCACTCCAAGTGCAGCTCGTCGAAGCCAGTCCCATAGTCGAGTGCCGCCGCGGCCGAGCGCAGCGGCCAGATCACGCCGATCTTGTAGAAGAGGCCGTCCCAGTCTCCGTCACTCGAGTCAGACAGCCACGGGCTGCCGAGGCAGAGGTCGACAGACGGATCCGCTACGCTCAGTGGCGCGAGCGGTGCGAGTGGCAGCCCCATCGGCGGAGCCGGCGGCGTTTGCCAGTGCTCGGTGGGCAGCGGGAACCACATGCAGGCAGCTGCAGCACCTTGGTCGGTTCTTCGTTGGCTAAACCAGGTCGCAAGCGCGATTTCTTTCAGTATATCTATATCTAGCTCTGACGTTGACAGGGTTTGCGATGAGAAGCGATCTTTTGTGGTCAAAATTCCCTTCCGCATCTGGACCTGTTCGGGGCTCACGGCCTGCTTGGGAGCTCCTTTCCTCCGGCTGTTCCATGTCTTTCCGGCCTAGGCGGGGCGGTGGGCGTGTGCGCGCGGCGCGGTGCGGTGGGAGAAGAGAGAGATTTTTGAAAACCAAAAAGAAAGTGTGTCTCGGGTTGAGAAAATCTCTCAAAATAGAAACCATGCTGCCGGTGTCAAGATGGTTCCGCAGCCGCCCCCGAGTGTTCGAAGAGAGAGTGGACCTGAGCAACAACATGACCTGGAGGCAAATGATCGGAGTGGGAGTCAGAAATGTGGTCCTTGCGCGAGGGGAGCTCGATAGACTCGAGGGGCCAGGATACGCCGCGAGGAGGACGGAGTTGCGCCGAAAGGCGAAAGAAGCCGCGAGAACAAGGGACCGGCAGGCGGCGGCGGCACAGGACGAGGCAGAAGAGAACGACGCGTCAGAGGAAGAAGCGACAAGGGAAAGAACGACGACTGAGTGGGAAGACCGCGAGGTGGCATGAAGGTTGCAGCGAGAAGCGGAGAGAGACTGCGAAGAGAGATAGGAAGAGGCAGACTCCCTAGGGTGGGCGACGGCTAGCGCACCACACACCTCTCCTTACGCCCCCCACAGCAAATCGGTTTTTGCCCTTAACTAGTGCCGTTTTCGTTGGACCAATTTTCGCTTAACTTGGTCGGTTTGAGCACTATTTTCAGCCAACGCCCACAGCAAATCGGCGAAAACCTGCTCTGCGAGAGCGAGTTTTGTGGCTTGTTCGGCTTCCGTCGGTCGTCCCGTGACTGATCGCGCCGCCGCGTTGCACATTGGACACATGCTCTCGCGCGTGGCGCTGACGGGGACTATTGTGCGCCTCGGCGAGGCGCTTCCGGTGGTATTTTTTTCGAGCGCAGTGGACTTCATCTTGCCGGTCAACTGCCGGCGGTCGACAACTGCCGTTCGAGCAGCGTCGGGTACCGCCGGCAAGATGAACTCACCTGAAGCTGAGCCGCGGCATGCGAGGTAGATCCTCCGCTCCCGCCATCACCGCCACCACCACCACCACCAACAACAACCACACCGCTACCGCCACCACCAGCACTACCACCACCGACACACACCACCACCAACACTAACACCAACCACCACCACCACCGCCGCCGCCGCCGCCTCCACTACCACCACCAGAGCGCTCGTGGAGAGGGTCGGAGCCTCTGGAGGTGTTCTGACGCCTCTCTGGCCTGTGCCCTGCCCCCAGCTGCCTGCCCCCCTGCTAGGAGCGCGCATTGGCGGAGTGGCTCGGAGGCAGGGGGGAGGCGGAGGCGCCCGCGCGGATCCGCAAGGCTGTCACTTCTTCCCCTCTCCTGGCTGGCGAGCCCCACATCCCGCACTCTCTAGGCGGCGCTGGTCCGCGAGGCTCTCTGCGGCGGGCCTGTCCGCGTGTACGAGACTCTCGCGCAGGCGGCAGACGCACAGGCGAGAGAGCTGCCCTCCTTGCAGCAGCGCAGGGGGGAAACTGCTGCACGAGGGCTGGTCGCCCCGACGCTCCGCCGCGCGACGCCGCCCGCCATGTCTGCCACCGCCTCCTCGCCGCCTCGCCCTCCTCCGCCGCGGCGGTGCGACGCGGCGGACGCTGTCGAGGTGCGAGAGATGGCAGAGAAGGACATCCCTGCCGTCGCGCCCTCCTGACCGGCGCGTTTGCGGCGCCCGGCTACAGCGCGCTGCAGCGCGCCATCGTTCGCGCGGAGACAGCGGCGGGCCTCGCCGAGCGGCGCGGCGCGTCGCTGCTGCTTGTGGCGGAGCGCGAGGGCGCCGTCGTCGGCTCCGTCGAGGCTTTCACGCCTGACTTTCTGGTATGCGCTCGCGACTGCCCCGTCGGCGCGCCGCTGGTCCGGGGTCGGGCGGACGCTGATGTCGCGTGTCGAGGAGATCGCGTGGGAGGCGGGCGAGAGCGTGCTCTCGCTGCAGGTGTGAAGAGACGCTGTTCACAGCACCTAATCACAGCGTGGGATTGCAGGCGAGAGCGTGCTCTCGCTGCAGGTGTGAAGAGACAGCAGGTGTGAACAGGCTGCAGGTGTGAACAGAGCGCCCTCTCGCTGCAGGTGGACGAGCTCAACGGGCCGGCCCTCCAGCTCTACCGCGGGCTCGGCTACGAGGTCGCAGCAGCAGAGGCGCGCCAGCACCGCCGGGAACGGACTCTCTTCATGCGTCCAGCTGTGAACAGGTGGTCGGCAGGGAGCGCGCGTCCACCAAGCCGTCGAGGTGGTGGCCTCGCCCCTCCGCTCCTTCGGGCCGCGACATCGCCCCGAGCTCACCCGTGCTCGCCCCGAGATCACCCTAGGTATGGCTTCGTCTCGAAGCTACTGCTCGGCGGTGTGCGGGAGCGGACCTTGCTCGTGCTGCAGAAGCCGCGGCCGCCCGCTGCGGCCGAGGCGGCGGAGCCGGAGGTGCCTCGCGGGCGTGGTGTTGTGGGGCGGTTGCTGTATGGCGTGAGGCGCCGTTTGAAAGCGCTGAGATAAAAACAAAACTGGAAATCGGCACGTCGCAATCGCAATCTCACGCTCCCTCTTCTCCACTGCATGATTTTGCATCACAAAATCCCGGGCATCGTCCCCTACCCAGCCGTGTCCCGAATCCAGCCCTTGCCCGCGTGTACATGGCGTCCGCAGCCTGCAAGCGCGCCCGCACCGGCGGTGCCGGCGGTGAGGTTGAGGAGCCCGTACCGGTCGCGGGTGGCTTCGAGGCGCCCATCTTTGGCGTGCGCGTCGTCGGCCAGGTCGCCACGCTCACGCTCGAGGGTGAGGACGAGTCGGTTGGTGTTGCGAGCGATCACGCGGGCGCCTGGTACGTCGCGAACGAGGACTCGCTGTTGCACGTCTCGGCGGCCGGGCGCATGCGCCGCGTGGCAGTCTTGCCGGCAAGTGGAGTCTTCTACACCGTTGCCGCCAGCCCGGACGGGAGCGCGGTGTTTGTGGCAGACTGGAGCAACGACGAGATCCGGCGGGTGGAGGTGGCGACTGGCGAGGTGACCACGCTCGCGGGCAGCGGCACAGCGGGCAGCGCCGATGGCGTGGGCGACACGGCGGAGTTCTACGATCTAACTGCCATCGCCCTCAGCCCAGACGGCGGCGCACTGTTTGTGGCGGACGGCGGCAACCACAAGATCCGGCGGGTGGAGGTGGCGACTGGCGCGGTGACCACGCTCGCGGGCAGCGGCGAGGAAGGCGACGCGGACGGCGTGGGCGACGCGGCGGAGTTCTTCGGCCCACGCGGCCTTGCCATCAGCCCAGACGGCGGCGCGCTGTATGTGGTGGACCAAGGCAACCAGAAGATCCGGCGGGTGGAGGTGGCGACGGGCGCTGTGACGACGGTCGCGGGCAGCGGCACCATGGGACGCGCCGATGGCGTGGGCGACGCGGCGCAGTTCCACAACCCAAGTGGCATCGCCGTCAGCGTAGACGGCGGCGCGCTGATTGTGGCGGACTACAGCAACCACAATATCCGGCGGGTGGAGGTGGCGACGGGAGAGGTGACGACGATCGCGGGCAGCGGCACCAGAGGCAGCGCCGACGGCGTGGGCGAAGCTTCGGAGTTCAGCTACCCGACTGAAGTCGCCATCAGCGCCGACGGCAGCACGCTGTTGGTCAGTTCGAGAGTTGGCCTCCGCCAGGTCTGCGTGGCTGCGCCTCCTCCGCCTCCCTCCTTTGCCCCGATTGTCGTTCCGCCCTCCACCTTCTCCGCCGACATGGCGAAGACGTGGGGCGACGCCTCCCTGCCAGAGGGGAAAGTCACCTTCCTGGTCGGCGACGACGAGGAGCGCATCGAGCACGTGAGCAAAAACAACCTCTGCGCCCGGTCCCCGGTCTTTCGGACCATGTTTGGCATCGGCATGAAGGAGCGGGACGCCGCCGAGGTCACGGTGTCCCACACCGACCTCGCCAGCTTCACCGCCCTCGTCCGCTACCTCCTCACCGACAAGTTCGACCTCGGCGAGGAGGTGGGCGGCAGGGCGCAGCGCGCGCTCGACCTGCGGGAGCTGGCGCAGATGTACCAGGTGCCGCGCCTCGAGCTGCTCTGCGCGCAGGCGCTGCAGGAGAGCGTCGCGCCGGCGACCGCCGTGCCGCTGCTCGAGGCGGCGCACACGCTGGGCGACGGGCGGCTCCTCGCGCAGTGCCGCCGCTTCGTGGCCGACCACGCCGCCGAGGTGCGGGCGAGCGGCGGCGTGGAGCAGCTGCGCGACTTTGGCGTGGCCAAGGGGCTGCTCGGCGACGCGCTCGACCAGGTGGCGCAGCTGAAGGGCGCGATGCGCGCGCTCCGCGTCGCGGAGAGCTGAGAACGCCCGATCGAGTACCGGAGCAGTGTGACAGCGCAGCGCGCCGAGTACAGCTACAGGGAGCGCGCTCTCGCGCACCGTTTTGATTTGTCTACGCACCCTACAAGCCGGTTTCCCGATTCCAGCCCCCTCGAAAAATGCGATCATGTGCGTCAGATGTCCCGGTGGTCATCTTTGGCCAACCTCCGCCTCCGCAGCCCCCGACGGCGCACCGCAGTCTCTCTCGGCGCAGTCCCGCGCACTCCCCGCCTCTAGCCGCTACGTACGTAAAGCCGTACCCCAGCACTGCCACAACAGCGCCATCGGCTACGTACCACTGCCAGCAGCGCCATCGAGTCAGAGTCGGTCGCCCTGAGCAGCGGCAGGACTGGCGAGTAGAGGCCCCGCCCACCCAGGGTACCCCTCCGAGGGGCCCATTGGGCTCTCCCGAGGCCTCGCCGGGGCTCTGCTCCAAGAGACCTCGGACTAGTTGCAAATACGTACGGGGGTGCTGTGAACATGACCACTTTTGATGTTTTTTATTCCGTGTTGCTCCCAGCGCCCTCGCCCGCGCTCCCTGAGGCCATGGCTGGTGCTACTAGTATGGGGGGCTACCTGGCTACCGCGAGAGCGACCCAACTCGTCGACATCGTCCAATGATGGTGCCTCAAAGTCAGCCTCCGGAGGCTATCGTTGCGTCGAGCCGGCGGTGGCCGTGACATGTGGTTCCACCACCCCTTTTACAAGCAAGGCGGTCTTACAACACGATTCCCCCCAATAGGGGGTCGAGGTCCTCGCTGAGCAGCAGAAGCCGCCCAGCCCCCCTCCACCCCTCCCTCTCCCAGCACCGGTCACCAGCCCAACCCTCCACCACCACCACCTCCCCACGCCTCCAGCCCGAGCCCCCTTCGGCCCAAGCCACCACCCCACGCCTCCGCCTCCTCTCCCCCACCCCCTGCCGTCGACACCAAGCCGACGGGAAATGGTAGGAGTAGTTGTACTCCGCCGCGAGCACGTCTGGATAGGGTCGATTCCGCGTGGTACGGGACCCCTCGATCGTCTCGCCCATCGCGCCATCCACAGGTTGTTGGTTGCTGCCCAGGTCCCGCACTATGTAGTACAATGCCCCGTTCTCTGGATCATGCTTGTTCGGGTACGCGGTTCGCCCGTCCCTGTGTCCCGTCCACGTCGCCCGTCGGCAAAGCCGGACGACGATTCCGGACGACCTATGGTGCCACTCGATGCTGCTGCGGCGTTGCGCGTTGCCGTTGGCGATGGGGCTTTCTGCACGCGGATCGCGGTCCCGGCGGGCAGGCGTGGTACTTCAGCCGCGCGGAACTTCCGCACTCCAACCGTTTTCAAAAATCTCTCTCTCTCTCCCTCCCTCCCACCTCCCTCCCTCCTCAGTGTACAGTGAGCTACGACGTACGACGTTCACAGCGCGAATTTGGCCCCAGCTCTTCGGCTCGCTCCGCTCGCCGGTGAGTTGGTTGGTTGCTGGCAGCACCCCAGCACCGGGGGGTCCTGAGAGCTGTTGGTTGGTGCTCTGTTCACGTAAACGCACAACCCCGCTCTGTTCACAGCACAGTCACGTACTCGCAGAGTGTGGGTAAACGAAAGTACCGTATTCGGTACTATCAAGAAAGACACCGAAAAAAGTCGCCGCGGCAGTCCACGACGAGCCAGCCTGCTGCCGGCTCGCACGGCAGCCTCTTCCTATGGACCAGCCTCGACTTCCATACAGTCAACATTTTGTCGCTGCGTGCTCGTGGTGAGCTGTGGCGGCGGTCGAAGTTCGCCCAGATTCGGTGACGAGCGCCGGACGATAGTACCGCCTCTGTTCGCCCTGTGCATGTCAGGCCAGGCTGCAGCAGGGCACTACCAACGTGCTGCCCTGTTGCAGCCTGACTTTGCCCACTGTGCACAGTCGCCAGAGCACCACCACCGCCCGGCATCGTGTCACGGCGAGCTCCTTCTGCGCCCGCTCGCGAGGCTCTCGCGCTGGCACACTTTGGCCATCTGCTGCTCGCGTTCGGCGAGCTCTTCTCCGCACTCCTGCCACGGTGCCGTCACCACACACCTTCTGGCTGGCCTGAGCCGCGCGGGGTCGCCGGCGGGGGCAACGCGTCGACCTCTCTCTCTGGCGCACCACGGGCCGCAACGGCCTGCGAGCAGCGTGCGCGAGGAGGCAGTGTGCCGGCACAGTCGAGCCGGAGCATCGGGTTCTTGATGCTTCTGGGGTCAAGTTTGACCTTATGTGGTATAATATGCAACAATAATGCTATGCTCTCACCCAGCCTTTTGAGATATGATCCCTCAAAGTCGAATTTTCGTTTACTGGTGACCATAGTACCGTTTGTCTTGTTTGCGTTTCTTCAAACGAATCCTTTAAAGTCTCGACAATCACTCAGCTGCTTATGTGGCACCGCAGAGGCTCCCTTGGGGATGCCTGAGGCCACCCCAACCACACACTAAGCCGTACGTAGACGAATTGGGCGCTACTTTTTTCGTTTACCCACACTCTGCGAGTAGGGATGCAACTGGATACAGTAACTCGCTCGGAGGACAGTCGCAAGCAGCCTCCCTGCTTCTCATCGTCACCTGTCTCACTGTCACCTCTCTGCCTGTCTGTCCATTTCGCACTATCCGTGCGTGCGATCCGGATCCTGCGCTGTGCTTTTGTGTGAATAAGCGATGGCGCCCGACTCGTCCTCCGATCATGTCGATGTCCTAATCGTCGGTGCCGGCCTCTCTGGAATTGGAGCCGCTCACCATCTTCAGGAGCGATGCCCAGCAAAGTCCTTTCTTCTGCTCGAGGCGCGGCACGCCATCGGCGGGACCTGGGACCTGTTTCGGTACCCCGGCGTCCGATCTGACTCCGACATGTACACCTTCGGGTACCGCTTCCGGCCGTGGACGGACGATGTCACCATGGCCGACGGCCCTTCGATCCTAAGTTACATCCGCGAGACTGCCACGGAGGCTGGCATCGACCAGAAGATCCGCTTCGGCCACCGCATGGTGCGCGCAGAGTGGTGCAGCGCCGAGGAGCGGTGGACGGTGTGGGCGGCACGGGAGGGGCCGTCCCCGGTCGGCGGCCAGGTCAAGTTGACGGCCAAGTTCCTCTTCAACTGCAGCGGGTACTACAAGTACGACCAGGGCTTCACGCCACCCTTCCCCCAACTCGGCGACTTTGGAGGGCGGGTGCTGCGCAGTAGCCTCCTCCCTAGCCCTCCTCTGCCGCGCGCACACGGCCAATCGGGAGCATGGCGCGGCCACCTGAGCAGTGACCATGCCCGGGACGCGGCCTCAGGTGGTCCACCCGCAGCACTGGCCGGAGGACCTCGACTACGCGGGGAAGAGGGTGGTTGTCATCGGCAGCGGGGCGACCGCGGTCACGCTCGTGCCGGCGATGGCCCAGCTCGGTGATGAATTATTAATTGGGGTACA